CGGATGATGGACGATGAACGATGCTTTTTTTCCCGTTCTTTATTTGATTTCCAACTTGAGGACAAGTTGGTTTTCGAGGCGGGAAGAGTGATACCGGACTATATTTAGTTATTTACCATTATTATTATATTACTATTATCATTATTTATGGTTAGATAATTATATTATTATTAGGAAGTATTATTATATTAGGTTATTAGTATTTTAATTTATTTAGTTACCTTTTATGGCTAGGACTCTTTAGATCAACCATCTATATATGTAGCCATTATGCATGATTTTATTATTCAATCAATAAAGAAATATTTCCCTAACCCTAAACTCCCCCTCTCCTCCTCGCCGATCAATGGCCGTCTTCCCCTCTCCTTTCTCAATCTCTTCCTTTTCCCCAATTCTATAGCTCGAAGGTGCTAATCCTTCCCTATCCCGATACGATACCGTATCACGTTACAAAGTTAATACTTTAGTTTCAAAGGGGCTGCTGACCTGGACAGATTAAGGTGTTACAGACAACATGTCCTAACACACGCAAATCTATCAGTGGCTATTTTATCGTACTAGGAGGAAGTCCCATCTCTTGCAGAGCCAAGAAGCTAACCATTGTTTCTCTTAGTTGAGTTGAAGCTGAGTATCATCCATTAGACGAGTCACTGTACTTATGACTTAGCTTGGCTATTTCGATTGTTTTTTTATCTCGATGTTCCTCACATTGCTCCCATTATAGTTCATTGTGACAAAAAAAGGTTGTCATTTACATCACTACAAACCTTGTCTATCATGAGCGTACTAAACATATATAGAGTTAGATTGTCATTTTCTACATGAAAAGCTTTAAGCAGGGTTGATCACTCTTACAAACATTCATACGACTGAGCACCTTGCTAGCCTCTTCACTAAGAGCCTCCCTAGCACCCTGCGTCACAAGTTTTTGGCCAAGTTGGGGGTTCAGGTGCCCTAAGACTTGGGGTGTGGGGGGGGGGGGGGTTCGGAATAGTTTGGTCTGCATTTTGTTTCCTAACGGATCAGTCACACAATTAGAGTTTGATTTGGTGATCTGGGTTTTGTATCCCTTCTTTTATATAAACATTTCGTTATTCTTCTTCTAAGAACAAGAACTGTAATAATTCTTCTCCAAGAAATCAATGTTGTTTTCTTCTCTATTTTATGTGATTTTATTTGGGTGAATGCATCTCTGAAGAAACCAACAAAGGTGGGTATATATTAATTTAGGGATGAGGTGGGATATGTAAAATGGATGGTGAGATGGGGACTTTGGAGTTTGGACAGGGGTGAGGGGATAGAGCATCCAAAGTCTGACTTTAGGAGTCGAATTTCTGTGTGGACTTTTTCTTTTATCCATGTGGACAAGCTTAAGAGCATTTGTGTTTTCTAAAATACATTTCTATTGAATTTTTTTATATAAAAAATAAGCCAAATTAATTTTATTGTCTTATAGTGTGTTTGGGAACTTCAATCTCAATTCAATCCAAATTACTTGTTTGGAAACTCAAAGAATTTAAATTTGGATTTAGATCAATTTTTTTATTCAAAAAAAAAACTCAATTACAAATTCACATATCTTCCCATATTACAAATTCAAGTCAATTTTCCTATAATTTATAACTTTCAATTACTAAAAGAAATCTCTCACTCTCTTTGTCGAATTCAAAATTGAAATCCTAGAATTAAAAATATTTTAAAATTCTATGATTTACTAGTTAGAATTTGAAATTATAATATTTCAGATATTAGAATTGAAATTTCAAATGAAGTCTAATTCTCAAATGTTACTTTAACATTATGTTTGGTTCAAGGAATCTGGAGAAAAAGAAAAGAAAATAATTTTCTCTCATTTTCCTTACTAAAATGGGAGGAATTTGATTTTCAGTTCTCTTACACTATGTTTGGTTCAAGGATTTTGAAAGGGAAAAGAAAAGAAAATGAGGAGGCAAAATGTACCAAGTGGAGGGAAAACCAAATTCCTTCCATTTTGGTGAGAAAAATGAGAGAAAACCATTTTCTTTTCTTTTCCTTCCAAAATCCTTGAGCCAAACATAGTGTTGATATATTTTGTCTTCTCATCTCCTTTTCTTTCCACTTTTCTTTTTTTTTCTCTCTATCCAAATAAGAAAAACTATTCTCTATCTTATTTACTTTTCTTTTCCATTTCAAATTCCTTCAACCAAACATAGGGTAAATATTTCACTAATAAAATCATTACAACATGTTGTACCACCACAGAAATCATTGCAACATGTGATTCTAGTCGGGGAATTCTATAAAGTCGTGATAATGCCTTATTTTTCAACAAGAGATGCGTGACAACCTTTTTGAAATTAGTAATCTACAAGAAAACGTCTATTAAGTATCTTTGTCGCGATTAAGTTTTTCAATAATTTTTGTTTATTTATATATTTTCATAAATTATTTGATAAAATGAAATTTTTTTGTCACTATTTGTCCTATAAAACTGTTGATGTAAATTTTTAATATGTAAGTTTTATATTTTATTTCTATATAAATTTGTAAATAAAATAATTTAAAAAAGATGAAATTTGAAACTTCGATCAAAGAGGGTAAATAATTTGGAGACCGAAATAATTTCTTTTAGAAACTTAAAAATACTCATTACAGTAGTAAGCAAAAATACTCTCTTTATCCCAAAATACCGTCAATACTACAATTTCAATTTCCCAATAACTGTTATATATTTAATTTATACTTTTTTTTTATTCAATATAAATTTGGAAAAAAATAATTTAAAAAGAGTCGAATTTTACATATTGTTCGAAGTGATATGTAATTTTAGAAGGCTTATTAGGTATACTATGAACTTTAGGTGCAAGAATTTGCTCATATTTTCTAGATAGTGTCCCCGTAACAATCGATTGGCCCAACCCTCTACTTCTAGATACTCCCTTCCCTTTGTCACTTTGACCATAAAAAAATTTAACTAAAAAAGTCAAAACTCTAGAATTAATTTGAGGAAGGAACAAGTACTCCGTATTACGGAGTATATAATGACCATACCACCAATTCTATCAATGCTAACACAGATCTTTCAAAATTGCATTTAACCTCTCGCTATCAAACTTTTGGTGTTTGGCATAGCCAGCATATCCCATCCAATGGCCGTAACCCAAACCGTCACCGTGTTGGAGCATATTCCGGTCTCACCACCGCCGGAAGCAACCGCCGAAGTCACTCTTCCCTTGACGTTTCTCGACGTGGTGTGGCTCTCATTGCCACCGGTACACCGTCTCGTCTTCTACCGACACCCCGTGTCGAGAACGGAGTTCGTGGAAACCCTACTTCCCAAGATGAGAGACTCACTTTCTAAAACCCTCCAACACTTCAGTCCACTAGCAGGGAGAGCGGTCGTCTCTCCCGACCACCTGAACCTGTCGAAAATCTGTTACGCCGACGGTGACACCGTTCCATTAGTCTTCGCGTTGTCAGAAGACGGCGGTTTTGACCGCCTTGCATCATATGACCATTCAAGGCCTGGTACGGATTTCCATCCGCTCGTACCCAGGCTGCCCCCGGCGTCACGTGCGCCGGACGGCACCATCACGTTCCCCGTGTTAGCGTTGCAAGTGACGCTTTTCCCCGACATAGGGCTTTGCATGGGCGTGACCAACCACCACATCATCGGTGACGCGAACACCATCTTCCGTTTCATGAAGGCGTGGGCTTTCTTTTCGTCTTCTCCTCCTCATCGTCACCAAGATTCTCTGGAGCCCCAGTTCCTGCCGTTCTACGACAGAACGGCAGTCAAAGACCCGAAAGGGTTGGGGGCGGTTTTCTGGGAGTACGCGAAGAGCGTCAATCTCGAGGAGACACTCAACGTTCATCTCCTTCCCGAGATCACGGACAAGGTTCGATCCACGTTCGTGGTGACAAGGGAAGACATCCACAGGCTCAAGAACCACGTCCTAACTCGAAGGCCAAAAATCTCGCATGTCTCTTCATTTACGGTGGTCTACTCCTACGTGTGGCTTTGCTTGGTGAGATCAAGAGTTGAGATCAATAATAACAATGTTGACAACGATGGAGAAGAGATGGAACACTTTATTTTCCCGGCGGATTGCCGGTCACGTTTGGGCACACCGAGGTTGCCCCACAACTACTTCGGCAATTGTGTGGTACCATGTATGGGAAGTGTGAGGACGAAGGACCTAACGGGAGAGGAAGGGCTCGTGAATGCCGCTGAGGTTGTGGGAGAAAGCATTCGAAGCCAATTGTACAATAACAGTGAAGAAGATGGGGTGCTAAGTGGCGCCGAAGATTGGCTTAGCACGATAAGTTCGATGAAACCGGGTCGAATCATGGGCGTTGCTGGGTCGCCCAAGTTCGACTACTACGAGCTAGATTTCGGATGGGGAAAGGCCAAAAAGTTGGAAATTCCGTCGGTCGATATAACAGGGGCCATTTCTCTGAGTGCAGCCAGCAAGGAGCATGGAGGAGGGGGGCTGGAAGCTGGTTTGGCGTTGCCCGCTGCGCAGATGGAGGCTTTTACCCGGATTTTCGCCCACGGATTGAAAGCTTTATGAAGATGAAGAAAAGCAGGGGTGATATATCAATAATTCGGCGAATCTACTCCGTATTTAAAGTTGACAATAATGTTGAGACTGGCTCCACCGGGGTTTCATCAATATATATATATATATAGAACCATATGTTTTTATTTCCCAATGTAGGACTTTTGGTCATTAACAAGTAGTCATTATTCAAGTAAATGTCCATCATTACTGGACATTATTCTTCCCACTAGGTCATTATTAAGTCCTATTTAGAGAATAAAAAAGTTTAAGTCCTATATTAGGAAAGTCATTATGTTTTAGTCCTAAAGAAAACCCCCTAAATAGGAGTAAAACATGTGTTATATCCTCAAAATAGGAATTCAAACATAAACTCCTCTAAGTAGGAGTAAATAATTATTTTTATTACTTAAATAATAGAAGTATTCACGGGGCGTTTATTTTCATTTTGTCATTAGGTCACCATCACCAGTAGGAGTCCGCTTCCCACCAGCGCTTCCCCCGTCGAATCGTTGTGCCATCGTCGCTACCACCGTCAAATCACTGCGCCATCGCCTCCTCCGCTGCCATGCACCCCATCCATCTCAGATCTCCCTTCCACCTCCCACCCTTTTCTTCAATCGATTATAATCACCCTTGCCGCCACCATCACTCAATCGCCGCCGCCATGCCCCCACATCTTTGAGATTCATCGTTGCATCGATGCCTAGCGTTTCCACCTCCATCTCCGATCCCTCCCTCAAAGCCTGATTTCAAAAGTGAGTACGTTCTCTCTCAATCTTTGATTAATTTTTATTTTCTTTGAATTTTTTCACCAAAAAGTCGAGCAGTGCATGGGATTATTTGGTTTGGTATCATGCCTTGTGACATTTGTGAATTCACATTGTGGCATTATATGCGGGCATTTGTGGCATTATATATTGTCAAGTATGACATTATATGGTGGCATGTTTGCCATTATGCATTTCTTTGGCATTAGATGTTGTCATGGATAATATGATGTGGTGTCATGTTTGTCATCATAAACTTATTTGGCATTATATTCGGTTTGGCATCAAAACGTCATCAAAACTGGCTCAATTTGAACATGAAAACCTTCTTTTTTGGAGCACAAAGTAAAACAAAACCTATCCACTAACTGCCGAAACCCAATCCAGAAACAACAAACAGCAACAGGCGGCAACAAAGAAATTTTAATGACCAAAATTTGGCCTAGCTAATTAATTAATCATGACCCACAGCTTGTTGACGAAACAAATCGAGGCAGTTGGCAACAGCAACAGGCGGCAACGCACACGTAGGATAGAATATGATAACTCCTATTTTTGGGATTTTATCTTTCAACTCATATTTTGAAGTTTAATCAATGTTTTACTCCTATTTTGGTCCTTAACCCTTAGTCCTATTTAGTGCAAATCCGTTTTCTTCTTCCATCTTTTTAATAAAATACTCCGTATTTTTTTTTTGAAACAAAATACTCCGTATTAATGTAACTTTTACTTTGCATTTTGTTTCATACTCCCTCCGTCCCCCAATTTTTGTCCACTTTCATTTTTATACACCATCTAATGCATTTCTTTAATCAATTTTGTCTTGTAATTTGTATATTAAAAAGTTATAGAAATTATATATTAATAATCTATATGTTAAGACAAATCAAACAAGATTACTGATGGGCCAATATCCAACGGGCGGCCCAAATGAATCGTCCAAACAATTTGGGTCAAGCATTTGGAGGATATCAAGGCTTGGGCCGGTCCATAGGGCTAAGCCCAGTCACTTTCGGTCCAGGAACAGCTGGCAGAGTCAATCCAGAAGAGGAGACGGAACCGAATGGCGGAGACGAAGCCGGAAAAAGGGGATCGTGCCATTGACGGGATAGACTCCATTGATTATGCATTACCATAATTGTCTAAAGCTCATGTATAAGTAAAAGAGACCCGAGAGGGGAGAGGACAAGCTAAATCAAGCTGATAATACATACTCAATTCTCGAATTCTCGTTCTTAATTAGATTCTTACGATCCGCTTTCTGAATCGGATCATTTGGTGGATTTATTGTGCATCAAATTCGTGCTCGCGTTGAGAGTTTGAGAATCATACTCAGAGGAAATCCTCCACAAAGACGATGGTGCAAACACGCAGCAACGCCAATGTAGGTACCGGAGTTCCCCAACAGGGGAGAACAGCGCCACTGGAGGCCGGCACCCCCCCCATCACCACGGGGGAGGCTGAGGCCCTCATCTAGAGGGTTGGGATCACAGCCGAGCAATTCAAGGAGGTTCTGGCTGCACTCACACCCAATCGCGAGATTGTGGTAGAAGAGGTGGCTGGGGGACCCACAGGCGGGAAGGCTGGACCTGCGGGCTCCCAAGGGAAAAAGAAGAAAGTAAGGCGGTCCCAGAAGAAGAAGGCGACCAAGCCTAATGGGAAGCCTGTGATGGAAGATGCTCTTTCCAGACTGGATGAAGAGGACGAGTCATCCTCCTTCGAGCGGATGTCTGCTTTTGACCGTTTGGGAGACCCCAAGTCAAAGAAACCTCGGACCTCTGCGTTCGAACGGTTGCAGGACACTCGGTCGGCCCGAAAAGGCGAATTAAGGGACACGCTGAAGGAGAAGAGAGGGGAGTCCACAGCGACCTCCAAGATCGGTTCTGAGGAGCGAAGGGCGACGGTCGGGGACAAGGGCGCGGCCGAGCTGTGGAGAATGTACGAACAACTGGAGAAGCGACTGGACGCCCAAAACCCCTACCGCCAGGCGGTCTTCAGTGAGGTAACGCCCTTCTCCAGAAGGATAATGTCATGTCCTCTCCCAGATAATTTCAAGACTTCCAAGATCAAAGCGTACAACGAGACAACCGATCCCCAGGATCACCTCGCTCGCTTTGGGGCAAACGTGGTCATGTATGCGTACCCCGAAGAAATCAAGTGTCGGTGTTTCCTGGCGACACTGGAAGGGCAGGCTTGTGAATGGTTCCACAAGTTACCCAAAGGTTCGATAGATAAGTGGAGCGACCTGGCCCACAAGTTCTTGGAGCATTTCGCGTCCAGCCAAAGACAAAAGCTCCCCTTCTCGCACTTGCTCAACGTGAAGATTCGAAATGGAGAGCAGCTCCGGGAGTTCATCAATAGGTGGGAAAAGGAGGCTAGGTACGTCCAAGGGGCGGATGACCAAGCCCTGATCGCCATGCTCCAAGCTGCACTCCCCCAAGGGGATGTGCGCAAGGAGCTGCGACGGAATCCTCTCTTGAACTATCAGGAGATGTTGGCCAGGGCGAAGTACCTGGCGTTGGAAGAAGATGATGATGAGCCACTAGCCCAGAAGGAGAAGAAAAGCGGGCCACCGGTGGCAGAAGGAAAGAAGAGGAAGGACTACGGTAAGGGGCCGAACCCCACCGGGTATCACGCGAACAGGCATCCTGTTCATGCGGTACAGTCGTTGCCTGCCCCTCCTCCCGGTCGGGAAAGTTATGGTGTGCAAAATGCACCCAAATACTGCGAGTATCACCGTAACAGCACCCACAACACGTCGGAGTGCGTTACGCTGAGGAAGGAGATGGATCAGTTGATCGAAAGGGGGCCACCTCCTCGGTCGGAGCGACCGTCCTCAAGTAACCGGACCTGGAGGAGACCGCCAGCCCCACAGCAGCGATCACAGCAGGAGAGGGGCAGGAGGATGGACGACGGCATCTAGGAAGGGATTGTGATGATCTAGATGAGGAGGAAAGGCAAGGTCGTCGGCACCTAGGGTGTCGGTTCATCATGGGGGGAAACACTGGAGGGGATTCAGTATCCTCCCGGAAGAAGTGGAAGAACATGGTGTACCTGGCCGAGGTACAAAGGCCGCCGCTGCCTAAGCGGAAGAAGAAGGAACCTCTGGTCTTTACAGACGAAGATTATCCCCCAGTCCTCAGCCCTCACAGGGACGCTCTGGTGATAAAGGTGGAAATCAGTAATGTGATTGTTCACCGGACTTTGGTCGATACGGGCAGCTCAGTCAATGTTATGTATAGCAACACCTTTAAGGAGTTGGGGTTGTCCCGAAACGACCTGAAACCGATCCATACGCCATTGTCAGGGTTCACAGGGGATACTATCGAAGCTGAAGGAACAATCACGGTGAAGGCCGGGGTAGGAGATGGCACCCACCGACTCTGGATCGACATGGAATTTATGGTAGTGCAGCTTGACTGTGCACACCATCTGATTCTGGGGCGACCAGGGTTGGAGGACCTGGAGTGCGTAATCTCCCCCGTCCACTTATGCCTAAAGTTCAATACCCCCACTGGGGTGGGGGTGGCGAAGGGGAACCAGAGCCTGTCACGGTCGTGCTACGTTAGGGCGACCAAAAGCCAGGCCCGAGTCGACGAGAATGTGAGCACGATCT